AGGTACAAGATCCCAGTGATGAATATAAGTGTACTGTCTACCTAGAATATACCAATAAATTCAATTGAAAAAAAAAGAAAAATATCTATTAGATATATTAAAATCTACTTCATGGGGGAAAGGTAAGGGAGAGGAAAAAACATGAGAAATTGAAAAAATAGAAATAAAATGTTTGTAAATGGGGAGGGGAGGAGGGGGTGAAGGGAGGGCAGGGACAAGGGGAAAAAATGAGAATCAAGACCTATCATATAAAGGTACAGTATCCCAATAATGAATGTAACTGTATTGTATACCTAGATTGTACCAATAATTCAATAAAAAGAAAAAGAAAAAATCTATTTCAGAATTAAATATAGAATTTTTCCAGTACTAGCAATCAAAAGTAGCCTTGGCACTATCTTTCCTCTGCTCAAAGTTTCAAAGTTACTTTGTATAACCATCAGAACACTTATCATATCTTGCCTATGATGGAGAATAATTCAACACTCTACTGCATAATATCTACTTTTAGGCCTCTAAAGAGAAGTATGTTGAAATTGAGTCATCTTCCAACTACTGTACTATGCAAAAAATGGTTTATTTAGATGGTCTGAGACTGCTATCCTTAGAAAGGTCTGTGTGCCTGATGGCCCAAGACAGGCTTCTGGAAATTTAAGACTTTGAGAGGGTTCCCTAACTGATAAGCATGGCTTACTGTGCCTAGCAAATGAGATAATGCAGCTTACCCTGTCATTCCTTCCCTGAGTATGAAAATGTCATACATGCTAGACAAAGGGTGACTAGGTGACCAACCCTTAATAACAACCTTCAGCTTTCTGGGGCATCCTATGCACACTGTTGTATATTCACTGCTAAGGAAAGGAAGTACTCTGTGTGACTTCTCATAAGGACACTGCATAAGGATGCCTCTTCTTGGATTCTTTGAAACCTTAGTGGTGAAAATATCACTTCCACTGAGAACCTTCTACTGCATATCCATACTCTATCACAGTAGTAAAGATGAGCCATTATAAGGCCATGCTGAGTCCCATTCATCCTAGCAAATCTGTAAATGTGGAGGCAATCCTGTGGATCCTTCACACAAATACAGAGTCCAGATCTGTTAAGGTTTACTTTTTCTCTAATAAACTGTGGGGGGAAAGAGGAATACAGATTCCAATTGGTATTTTTTTGGTTTACATTGCAAAGCACCATATCCTTCTGATTCGATTCTAAGTTCATTTAGCCTTTCCTTATTTGTAGTTACAACCAGCTGGCATAGTGGGCATGCCTATAATCCCAGCACTCGGGAGGCTGAGGCAGAAACATCACTGCAAGTTCAAGGCCAGCCTGGGATACACAGTGAGTTCTAGGCCAGCCTGGACTACATAGCATGAGACTGTCTCAAAAAATAAGAAAGAATGGATAATCCTTATTTGTAGTTACTTTATTTGACATGAGAAGCCTAACTCTGGTTATCTGCAAAAGATTTATGTATTTGTCCACTTACAGTACATACACAGTTCTAAAAATGTTAACTCATACTCCAGTTAGAAGCAAATCCAAAAATCAAATCACACTACATGTATATAGTTCTTATCTTTGGCTTTACGTTATCTAATCAAGACACTATTTCTACCATTACTTCAGTTACTTCTTTTATTCCTAGTCCACTTCAGTGTTAACTTTGCTACTTCCTACTGGATCCCCAACATCCTAGCTGGTGGGAACTGCTTATTTGCAGAGTACATGAAACATTCCTATTGTACTAACAGTCACAGCTAGACCACACGCACACATATACACCACCACCACCACCCTGAGAAATGTTCCTCACATTTCTTTCTTGCAGCATGGATCTTATTCCCTTTCTTCCACCTCTTTCTCACTTTCCATTAGTAATCAATCTTTTGGGGCTACGGATGTAGCTCAGTAGCACTGCACCTGCCTTGCAAGCACAAGGACCTGAGTTCAATCCCCAGTAGGAGGTAGGGGTTTCTGTGAAATAATCAATCTCTTTGATTTCTGCTTTAATCTTCCTATGCTATTTGTTTATATATTATTAATACCTTGGCTTATGAATGCTTCTGTTCACGAACAATTAAGTTTGCAAACAAAAGCATTGGGCAAAATTTTGTTCCCATTCACAAACTCTACATGGAGTAATGAACACAAACACAGCCATCTTCGTCAGAATCATGGAACAAGTTAAATTTGTGAACCGAGGTACCACTCTAAGTTCAAGCTGGGCAGTGTACCATTGTTCAAAATTTGATGCCACTCACTTCACTGTAATGTCAAATGTTAAAATGAGCGTTCTGGGCTGGCTCTTCTTAAGGTAACAGTTACTCATCTGTATGAAAGAGATCTTTTTGATAACCTGAGTAAAGCTGATACTATAACTGAGAACTGCTTGAACCTATGTCCTTATCTCAATTGTACTTTTGAAAGTGTTACCTATATTCTACTGATTAAAGCCCATGTACTGTCTACAGCAAAATTTTCTAGTTTTAATGTTTCTTTAGAGGAGCCATCTCACTTCTCCCAAATATATTTGTCAAAAACCAAAAAGAATTTGTAGATAAAGCACTATTATTTCAGAGTTTGCTGCCTTATAGATGAGGTAATTACATTTATTTTTGATTGCCTCAAATCACAAGAAAGTGACTATAAAAGCTTTGAAAAGTGGCAGACTGTGTGCATGTGTGTGTGTGTGTGTGTGGACTAAAAAGAAATATTTTAATCAATGTTTAAAATGTTTTTGTTTTTTGAGACAGAGCCTCACTATATAGTTCAAGCTGGCCTTGAAGTCACAGCAATTCTCCTGCCTTAGCCTCCCAAATGCCGGGATTACAGGTGTATGCCATCATGCCGGCAATGTTTAAAATACTGAACAGAGTTAGTCCACATTATGGACAAAAGATGTGTCAAATCTTGTCTTTTATTTTAAATCTTCATCAAATAGTTTTGTCTTAAAGAATAACCACACAGATGTGTAAGTGTAGCAATTCCCATTTCTAAAAATGTTAATTTCCAATTTAAATATAAAATATTTAAGGTGTATTAATCATATTACATGGTTTGTATGTATTACTCTTGAAGAAAATTGCTGATTTCCGATTTTCAGGGTTTTTAATACCATAGTAATTATTTAATAATAATTCTTGCAAGTAAACCTCTATGTTAAATAAAGTAAAAGTTACAAAATTGTGGTTTAAGTATTGGTGCCTTATACTTACTTCTGTGCTCCCTGAGACAACAGCTTTGTCCACGTTCACTAGTAATGGTTCTTCTATGTGGCAAGCACCCAACGACCACTCCATACAACGGTGATGAGCCCAACAAGTGCCTCAAAAGTGAAAAAGAGCAAATGAATAAACTGCAAAAATATGAATGCAAATAAATATATAAAGCTTCAAAATAAATTCCTAATATGTGAAGGCACAATGGTGTGTTGTATGTTATATCATCAAGCAGTTTTTTTCAGGCCATGCTCCAGTCTGTGAACTGCAGCACTGAGCCCAATCTAGGAAGCTGTTTGCACACCGCTAAGACTGGCTCAATCCAAAACACCTGCAGTGGGTCAGGGAACTGTAACAAGCCTTCCTGGTGATTCTGATGCATGTGAAAGTCAATTCTTCAACAAGCAAAAATTAGTTTTTTAGTCATTTTATTTAAATATCATTATGTCTGTTTTGACAAAGGGAAAGTATGGAAGGAAAATGATGACACCTGTGATTTTGCTCCCTCCAATACAAGCAAGAGCAGACATAAAACATCAACAGCAGCTCAATCTTTAAATGCTCCATCAGTGTGTGATGGCACTTGAGCCACTATCCCTCAATCAGCAATTCAAACATACAATGAGATTTACTTAAAATTCCAACAGCACCATGTCATGAGTGTTAAGTTACTATACTACTGCTATAAAAACTCATATGGCTAAGAGCAACTTCCCAACCCAAAACAGATCCAGACTACCATGCTTCCACGTTTTTACCTATCCTTTTAAAATTTTTTCTCTTTCCTCATTTATCAGGTATCCATGGTACTGCTATTTACAGCAGAGATAACATATTAATAAAAGCATCCAGTCCAGTGTTGGCACTGTGCATATTTTAAATATGGTAGGCAAACATAATTAGATGATTTCTTTTACTCAGGCTTACTTAATAATGACATGTTTGATATATGATCCTGATCATTTCCACATGAAAAGTATTTACTACTGAATAAGTTGGTGAAGCACTAAAATTTAAACGCTTCCAGAACAAGAAGCAACTATTACTGAAGAAAGGCCCCTACCTGTAGAATCAAATAAGGCTTGAACATCAATGGCATCTGGAAGGCCAACCAGACTGAGCTCATCCCATAATTTACCAGCCTGATCATCTGCAACTGTCTGGGTGCTTACACTTACACAAGACACCATATTCTGCTGAAGAGATCGCTCTCTGAAAATAAAGTAGGATAAAATAAATGCCTTTGAAAGTGATAAGCAGAAAATCATTTCATTTTATAAAAATTTAAGTAAAATGCACTGCCTAATCAATTTTAATTTATTAGGCATAAAATGTGATAAAGCTTTAAAATTCATTTATCATTATTCATAGCACAAATGTTAAAAGTGTATATGCCGTATTATTCTTGTAAGCAAAAATTGTCTCCAAACCCATAATAAAGTATTAAAATTATAACTGCAAATATCTTTTCTATTCTCTAATATAATTTTTTTAATTCACTCATACGCTAGTCTGGAACCATGTTTTAGCACATAAAATTGAAATTCCCTTTGGTCTTACTGAAATGCTTACAAAATAGAGCTTGTTCAGAAAATTTTAATATACTTCATCAAATAGAGAACTGGCACAGAAGAGGTGGCAATTAATTTTAAATAAAGAAAGGTTATTTTACTAGGAAAATGAAACCTGCTATACAGTGTGCAAAGGGAAGCGGGGAATGGAACATGTCAGCTGTACTTTTGTATGGTTCCCTTGACAAAAATCTCAACAGCTGTTTTGTGGTATGATGTTGAAGAAGTCTCAATCAAGACTATCTCACCAATCAGAAAAACAATAGCTACTAAAAGCATGAGGACTGACAAAGCTAATTTAACAGTTAAAACTAGAAAATAGAAAAGCAAATGATGAATAAAGTATATAATATATGGGAGATCTCAGACTTTCAAACCCTAACACTTAATGTATTTTTTTTTTTTAGATTCAGTAAACAAAAAGGACTACAATGGTCAAAATTAATTATGGGAAATCAGGTGGCTACCACCAAAACTTAAATTTTCTCCTAATATCATAGTATTTAACTTGATGATAATTCTGGATTAAATCACTATTGAATATAGATATAACTCACTGCACTTCTGTATGCTGGATATTTATCATGATTCCTATTAAGAGAAAATCAGCACAATGACCAGGGTACTAAACTTTTTTATACCTGGAATCATTGAAAGAAAAAAAGTATTAACATATTTCAGTAAGTACATTTAAATATCAAACCATATAAAAACCAGTCATTTTTTTATGTTTAGCATTAAAAAAGATTCAGCATGCTATGCTAACTTTAAATTCTCATTTTCAAAAATGCCCACAATAAAATGAGAACAAATTCTTTCCTGCAGATATAATCTCCAGTCTTACAAATATATCCTTCATAACTAATCAATGTTACTTTATTGGGAGAAATAAAGACTGACAGTTCATCTATAAATATTAATGTATTGTTTCAAGCACTGGTATTTGATGGGGGAAGGTAAAAACCAGTGAATCACTAACTAGTCTATTACAACTAGTAGTCAGTTCCTACCAAAAACTTAAATCAGGTTGAGACTGATTTGTATGCATACACCATACCAGATGCCAATGTCAATCCTAAACATTACAGCAGTCCAGCTTAGAAAAAGTCAACTGGAATATATATACACACACACACACACACACACAAAATTTTAAGTTTTAAAACAAAACAACAGAAAAAGAAAAAAGGGAAGGGGCAAGGGAGGGAGAAGAGGAGGATGGCGGGGTAGCAGGGGGAGCAGGGGAAGCAGGGGAAGCAGTAGAAGCAGGAGAAGCAGAAGCAGCAGCAGAAGCAGAAGCAGAAGCAGCAGAAGTAGCAGAAGCAGAAGCAGCAGCAGAAGCAGCAGAAGCAACCTTGATTGTGTACTCTTATATTTAGTATAAACAAGTGGGACTTGTCATTGTAAAAACTTTGTCAATTTTTTAAAAAAATTAACTAGTTGTTTATACTTCATTAGTATCATATTTTGTAAATATTTAAGAGTATTACTAAGCTGAACTGACTGCCTACCCCACATGAGTGCCAAATTTTCTAAACATATTCATTAATGGGTCTTTTTTTTTTGCTACCGAGGATTGAACTCAGGTCCTTGTGCTTGCAAGGCAGGCCACCGAACCGCTGAGCTAAATCCCCGGCCCATTAATGAATGGGTCTTTTATCATTACTTAATAAACTTGGTAAGCACTAAGTATATAAAACAACTTTTATTAAGCCAAGACTGTTTTTACATAATTTTCTGAGATCATAAATTTTTTCATTAAAAATTAACTTCACTTACAAAATATGTAAGCAAATAAAGTGTGATTCTATTTTCCAGAATAAGATTTTACCTAACTGCCATTATTAAAGGCAGAACAGTGTGTTCTGGGCTATAGAATTTGCTAAGCATTGATGGATATTTTAAGTTTTTTGGACTTTGGGTGTATATGTTGAGCACCCAACTAGTAAAAGATAAGGCTTATAAATACACTTAGGCACAGTCTGAAACACAATGATCCTCCAGATATAGTACTTCTAAGCATCCTTAAACTGTTCTACCTTAAATTCTTTTAAATGACTCTTATTCTTGTTAGTGTTTTATTTCCTTCTTCAAGTCTTCAAGGCTCTGGCAGCAGTTCAAATCATTGAGCCATCAAATAAGCAGAGCACAACAATGGTTTAGTGCTCAAATTTGGAGTTATGCCAGATAGGCACTTGGACGATCACATCATCACCAGGGAGGACCAGGGCTAGTCAGCCTTCCAAGCTAAATTAATTTTTACTTTCTCATTAATAACAGAAACTTTCTTCTATTCCCTTAACAGGGCTAAGTCCATATATTAAGATGGTCTTTAACCACAACAGTACAAAATATCTTAAAGCACAACAGACAGGAACTTTGGGTAACAACAATGTGCCCGTGGATACAAATGTATACACAGTTATCCAAACATTTTATTTTCTTAAAACAGTATCTTTGCTCTCTTTGGAAAAGGAATCCTAAACATATAATTACAGAAAGAAAAGGAGGAGGAAAAAGAAAAGAGAGAGCTGTGTTATGATTAGAATTTAGGACAACTCAACATTCTCCAAAACAAATATGTAAGAATTTAATTAATTAAATGACAGAATGAATATATGAATGAATGCACAAAGGATGTTAACAGTGGGAAAAATTCTGGGATTTTTCTTTTTTATCTGTTTGGGGTTTTGTTTGTTTGCTTGTTTTGTGTTTTGAGACAGGGTCTTGCTACGTAATTCTGGCTGGCCTTGAACTCACTATATAGTCCAAGCTGGGTTCAAAAATCACAGCAATCCTCCTGCCTCAGCCTCCTGGCTATAACAATTCTTGTTTTGCTATTATGCTATATTCATACAAACAACTAAACTTAATGGAAAGAAAGGACATCGGTGGTGTTTATCTTCTATTTATAAATCCCATGAACTCCCTGAGTCTCAGCTTACATTTTTAAAAATTTTCTTCCAAAACCTAACTGTTGTCATCCTATTGATTTTATTAATGTACAATTAACAATCTTTTAAAAATTAGAAATAAATTTTGAGAAAACAAGTGTCTTAGCAGTGAGTCATAGAATACTTCATGAATTTGGAAAACATGAGATTTCAACAGTGAGAACCCCACTTGTAAATTTATAAACAACTCACTAGATACAGTTTCATACCACCAATTTAAATCCAAAACTGCTTACTTTCTTGGTCCTCTTTGTCTTCGTGGAGCTGAGTTTTGTATTCTCTCATAGGTTCCACTGCTGCTGTCATCAATGTCCTTGTTAGAAGGCTGGCTTTGCCACGGCAAGATAAATCCAGGCGTTACTCTGAACTGTTTTAAGTCGCCCTGTCCTAAGGAACTTTTTTCCCCACAGTAACAAAAAGCGCAGAGCTGTTCACTGGTAAAAAGGGAAAGTGAGGAAGACAGAAGGTGAAAAGTAGCTTTATTCAATGACTTTAAGTAACTAGTCACTTATGCTTTATATCTTTAGTGCAAGCAAAGTTTCTTCAATGTATTTTCTATAATCTGCTCTTTTGTACCTCAGGAACAGTTAAGTTTAATAACAATTATACATTAGCAATTCTACTTTTCCACAGCATGGTATTTATTTATGCATGCATGCATGCATGCCTGCACTGCTGGTGACTGAACTCAGGGGCATATGCATGTTAGGCAAGTGCCCCAAAACAGCCCAGCATGCTAGAGCACACCACTAAACCCAGCACTCTGAAAAGCTGAGGCAGGAGGATCACAAGTTCTACCCCTTCATGGGCAATTTAGCAACTTAGCAAAACTCTATCTCAAAACATATAAATTTTTTTTAGATTTTTAAAAAAAGAGTTGAAGACATAATTCACCCTGAGTTTAATCCCCAGTACCACACAAAAAAAGTTCCATCATTGAGCTATATATGCCAGTACACTCAGCCCACCATGATTTTTTTAAGTGTAATAAGCATACCAAATTTAGAAATTCCAGCTTGTACTTAGGAAAAAATGCCTTTTAAAAAAATCTGCTACAGGGCCGGGGATTTAGCTCAGTGGTTCCACCACCTGCTTCGCAAGTGCAAGGTCTCAAGTTCAATCCCCGGTACCAATAAAAAATAAAAATAAAATCTGCTACAGACAATCAAAGTTTTAATATAAAAAAATAAGCAAAATAAAAGTAAAGATGGGAAGAGGACAAAATTTAACACTCATGTGGTTGCATGCTAGATCTATACAGCACAGTAACATAGTTGTATTTAACCATCTGATTTAACAGTGCTTTATGCATCATACATATACCACTGGGTGTGCACACACACAACAACAGGTAAACTACAGGCTTTAAAGATAATGCATCAATACCAGTTTAACAATTTAACAAATGTACCACACTAATGCACAATGCTAAACTGTGTGGGATAATGGAAACTCTGGGCTTCTGCTCCCCATTTTTTTGTTAAAAATGTTCTAAAAATTAAAGTCTCTTAATTTAAAAAGAGAAAACATTAAAATATTAAAAGATTTAAACTAATATACATTAAGAAATACACATTTAGAAAAACAAAATTAAAAGGAATTCTCCTCTAGATCTACTTTCTCTTCCTAACATAATTACTTTGTCACATCCAAATCTTCTCAAGCACTTTTTTTTTTTTTGGTGGTACCAGACCTTGTGCTTGTGAGGTAGGCAGCGGAACCACTGAGCTACATCCCTGGCCCTCAAGCCCTCTTAAGTTTCAACCAACACCTCAGTAATATTTATTCCATCAACCTTCATATTTTTCATTAGGTTATTCTGTAGTCTCCTGAGCTATTCTTGCCAGTTCTACCTACAACCAAGAGTTCATTTGCTATTCAAGTGTATTAAAATATTCCAAAACGTACTATAAATTGGGCCATACGAGAGTTCATACAATCAAAATGTCCATCTTATACAGACAATATTCTCTGAAAATAGGGCCATAAACTAGCAATGTATAATAAACAATTTAAAATTTTCCAAATATTTGGAAACTAGTAAACATATAGCTAAGAATCTTTCAGTTAAAATGTAAACCACAGTATTTGGGATGGGATAATAACAAAAATACTGAAAGTAAAGCTTTGTGAGATGCAGCTAAAGTTTGTAAGTGAACATGAACTTACAAATTTACATAAGTTATCAATAAATTAAAACCTTAGATACTATGAGCTAGAATTTTAACTAAACAAATTAGAAAAAAGTAAATAAGAACACTGATATTAATAGAAAAAAAATCAATGAAAATAATATAAGAAATAAATAAAGAGGTCCTGGAATTTAGCTCAGTGCTTTCACTGCCTGCCTTGAAAGAACAAGGTCCTGAGTTTGATCCCCAGAACCACAGAAAGAAAGAAAGAAAGAAAGAAAGAAAGAAAGAAAGAAAGAAAGAAAGAAAGAAAGAAAGAAAGAAAGAAAGAAAGAAAG